TCTCTGGTTGGCTGCCTTCCTTTCCCGCATGCCATTGGATCGCAGAGAGACACGGGATTGGCTGAGGCCTGGTGGTCCAATATGTCTGCGCCCTAATCCGACGCCACACCACACTACAAAGCATAATGAATTGAAGATGCATGATGTTAAAGTACCCATATACATGGGAAATACCTGATTACTGATATAATATTTAGTATTCGAATATAATTGCGCTTTTAAATCAATTAGGTAGTTATTAACCATACCATATGGACCCACTGCTGCAGCATTCCGATCTTAGCGAAATGTTGTCCCCAAGCAAAACGTCCTCAATGCCAACCTGTAGCTCTACGTAGATTTAACGTCGGCCCACATGTCTTTGGTTTTAGGGTCTTTTAACGCAAAACATAGCGGTTGCTTCCATTAGCGTCCTGTACGGGCTTGTCCAAGAAGGCTATGTATTTCGAACCTTGTGTAAGCTATTGCGCTATTCAACCGTCAGTCAGTCATAGTTCTATGTTCAATGTGGCCATTTCTATGACTGCTTTATTGCTTAGTCTTTTAGCATCCAAAATCTCATTTGAATGTTCTAACGCAACACACTGGTTCTCGAAATTGCAGAAATTGACGATCATCCCAATGCAGCGTTATGCTTTTTACTTCTGGCATTCTAAAACACTTTAAGTTTATTCGAGAATCGTTTAATTGACCCAAGGACATCAGGATTACCCCACCCCATTTGCCCATTTGACATAAGTTTGTAGCTCCTCGATAGTAGTAAATCTCTTCCTTATTTCCTGTGTGTGTTCCTTTTTAACGTCTATAATTTCGTACGGCAAATCTAGACATGCCACTGTCCAAGTCTTTATCGGGCGTATTCACATTTGGTAATGGTGAGCTAGCGTTCTACGACTGTTGATGTTTATTTGTGAATTTTAGAAACTGGCCAAAGGTGATAAACGCACTTTGCGTCGTAGTTCTCGTCCGAACCCGAAGCGGGCGCGCCTCGATGGAGCTCCCTGCAGTGTTCCGGATCCACAATCGCCTTTTAGCGATCCTGAAGCCAGCAATGATAGTATAATTGGCACAACCGTGGATGCGAGTTTTGACGATGAGGAGGACTATGATGAAATTGAGGAAGCGGACGAAGAAAGAGTTATGTCCCGTGGCGGTGCTGCTGGTGGCTTGTCTTCCAGTTCCGGGGCTCCAGTACCAACTCCTCGTGACGAATTCGGAGGAAAAGATCTCCGTGGCATTCTTTCGCTTCGTCCTGACCACCCTACGCGACCACTGTGGGTCGGCCCAGATGGGCACATATTTCTTGAAACCTTCGGGCCAATCGCCAGTCAGGCACAAGACTTTCTTATCGCTATTTCTGAACCCGTCTGCCGTCCAGAGCACATACACGAATACAAGCTTACTTCCTACTCACTTTATGCAGCTGTCTCCGTGGGTCTCAGAACCAGTGAAATTATTGGCTGTCTCCGAAGGCTCTGTAAAACACAACTTCCTCCAGGCATAATCGCCTACATCCGCTCTTGTACGCTATCGTATGGTAAAGCCAAGTTAGTGCTCAGAGGTGGTCGTTTTTTTGTCGAAAGTAGACACCGTGGATTTTTAAAGAAATTAGCCGCCGATCCAGAAGTAAAACAGTGCCTCGTTAGTGTTCCGACAGCTGAGGGATTGTCGGAGGTGACGCTGCACAAATTCGATTCCTCCGACAACGTGATTGCGCTAGGAATGGAGACTAAAGACTCGTCGAACAAACCGACTGACACTTCCGTGACACCGGGTTCATCAGACAGTGGCATGGCGGATATTTTGAAGCTATACGCTGCAATCGATGCCGATGAGGAAGAATTGGAAACTGAGGTACAGTGTGCCAATGCAGAGTTGGATCAGGCAGAAGTCGTTGGTTCAACTGGAGATGCTGACGCATTGAACATCAGGGCAATTGGCATCGAAGGTGCTGTCGAAGATCAGGAGGGTGAGGAGGACGACGATGACATTAGCGGTTTGCTGTCAAAAGACGGCCGTTTGAAGTCGTCCGAAACTGTTGCCATTGAAGTTTTACAGAGTGAAATTGAGAGACTCCAGCGTAGGTGTGTTGAACTTGAAGTCCCCCTACTAGCCGAGTACGACTTTCGTCAGGATAAGTTGAATAAAGACATAAGCGTGGATTTGAGGGCGAGCACCAATCTTCGACCCTATCAGGAGAAGAGTTTGCGGAAAATGTTTGGCAATGGACGCGCACGGTCGGGAGTCATTGTTCTACCTTGTGGTGCTGGAAAAACCCTTGTGAGTTCCCACAGCGTTGGCAGAATGTTTTGCTGCCGTGAGGCGTATCTCAAATTCTCACTAATATTACTTTATGTAGGTTTCCGGATTATGAGTTAAAGATCCGCAACTTGTATCTCGTTTATCGAAACAAATACCATGCTATGGGTGCTCTCTGATGCAATATTATTGTCATACTGTTAATGACTTTCTACGGCAATTTTGGTTAGGATGTACCCTGATGTTGCCCCGTTAATTTCTCTGCTGGATTCTTCGTAACAGTATAGTGAACATTTTGGCTTGAAGTACATTTACCACTTTGCTTTATTGCCATTAACCAGGTGGGCGTGACGGCAGCGTGCACGGTTCGCAAGCCAACACTCTGTCTGTGTACTAGTGGGGTTGCCGTGGAGCAGTGGAGGAACCAGTTCAAGCTCTGGTCAACCGCGGAGGACAGCCAAATCCTGAGATTCACATCGGATGCCAAAGACAGGCCCTCCCCCAGCACCTGTATCTGCATCTCTACGTACTCAATGATCGCCTTTTCCGGGAAACGCTCCTACGAAGCGGAACGCCTGATGGACTGGATCAAGGGGCAAGAGTGGGGTCTTATGGTTCTTGACGAAGTACGTGTCCTACCGTCTCCTTTTCGTTGGAGTTTCCCAATTGCTTCTAATTGTCCCAGGGGATCTCGATTTTTGTCATATCGCCTGTCTTTTGTTTTCGTTGCTCAGATTGCTTACTTATCCGGCGTCATCATTTGTTTAAGGCCAACACCGAAATCGATTGTCTGATTTCTAAATTACACAACGCATTTGCAATTCCGCATCCCTAGCAGCATGATGTTTCCTGATGCGATTCGGTGGCATTCGATGTGGTTTGCATTGGTTAATCCCCCCTGCATCTCGATTGCCGTCAGGTAATGCTTTGTAGTTGACGATGTATTATTTTTCACTGTTGACAATTTTTCCCAAAGGGGACGCCTCCGCTACATTTGAAAGGCCTTTCGCAAGTGTTGATTCGTTTCGTCGACTTGAATTTTTTCAAACCATGAGGAAGCCAAATGTCTAGCTTTTGAATGAGTCCAATGCATTTTATGTGGTTTTTCATTGTTATGTGTAAGGTCTTTGCACAGTGATCTAACCACGATCTGATTCAACTGTAGCGCTGACTTGATCGTCATTAGTCACATCAGGACGATCAGAGCGGCGTTGGTCATTTGTGATTTAGGAATTTCGTAAACCAATCTTAAGCAATCAACACCCAACGCGTTATATTTTCTGTGTGGCCATCAACGCCTTTTCCGCTTCCACCTGAACGATCAAACAATGGTCACTTTCGCACTCGATGTTAAAATTGCAAGCAAAATTACGTAGGCGAGGTCATCGAAATCTCACACAGGAAACACTCTTAGTACCGAAATTGCTTTCCTGTCGGCCCAATGTGTGGCTCCTTAATCGACACAAGACATGTGTGTATATGGCTCTGTCTTATTGCAGCGTTTGTGCCTTAGGTGCATACAATTCCTGCCAAAATGTTTCGTCGGGTCTTGACTATGGTCCAAGCGCATTGCAAACTTGGCCTCACAGCCACCCTCGTCCGTGAAGATGACAAAATCACAGATCTGAATTTTTTAATTGGACCAAAGCTCTACGAGGCTAATTGGTTGGAGCTGCAGAAACGTGGATTCATTGCCAAAGTTCAGTGTGCCGAAGTTTGGTGCCCAATGACCTCCGAATTCTACCGGGAGTACCTGCAGGTATTTCTTACACCCTTGGACTAGTTTTTCTACTTACGCTGTATTAGTAAGCATTTATTATTAACATTGTTTTTCTTCAGATGGCAAGCATGAAGAAACAACTGCTGGCGGTGATGAATCCGAACAAATTCCGTGCTTGTGAATACCTCATTAGGTATCACGAAAGACGCAACGACAAGATAATTGTATTCTCCGACAACGTCTTTGCGCTGAAGTATTATGCCAAGAAGATGGGTCGACCTTATCTTTACGGTCCAACAAGCCAGAGCGAACGAATGCAAATTCTACAGAACTTCCAGTACAATCAAAATGTAGGGGATTGGTCCTCTCTGCGCGTTCAGAGCGCGTTTTCCTGCCCACATCTCTACCGAAGCCATTTGAGTCAATGCCACACTTAAAATGAAGTCTGATTGTAGGCCAAAATTAATTAATTGCTTCCTAGTGGAGCCAAGTGGAATTGCGCATCATCCATGAAAACATTGCACCATCGAGGCTTCTACTGGGTGGCCTAGATGTAACTAGACCCTAGTTATTGCTAAAAATTGCAAATAAACGGCATATAATTTTGTTACCCGTGAACGACGCCTCTTCGCGTCTGGTCAGCGTTTGCACTTTAATGACTTGCTGTGAGATTTTGTGATGAAATTTGTCCGATTTACTCTGTGTAATTTTCAGTCATGATTAGAGTTTGGTTACGTCTAGGCCGCCCTATATTATGCTAATATAGTGTTGAACTGCTTCAATCAAGCAATCTTTTAATGCGTTAAACTTCATTTTATCAAAATGAAAGCTAACATGACCAAAATTTGCATATTTTCGTGTGCGATGCAACACCGAGTGTGTGACTGAAGTCTTGATTGAGTCTGTTTCACGGTGAGCAACAGTCTAAGACCTGCCATCGCGACCTGTGAGGCTGTGGACAATCACTACCCTCCCTCTCTCTCTCGTCTCCCAACTTAGGTTCCGGCCATATTCGTTTCAAAGGTGGCGGACAACTCCTTCGACCTCCCGGAGGCAAGTGTCTTGATCCAGATCAGCATGCACGGCGGAAGTCGACGACAGGAGGCCCAGCGTCTGGGTCGGATCCTTCGCGCCAAACGCGGCATGGACGCTGATGTCTACAATGCCTTCTTTTACTCGCTTGTCTCTCAGGACACCATGGAGATGCAGTACGCTCTGAAGCGTCAACGCTTTCTTGTCAATCAGGGCTATGCCTACAAGGTCTCATTCCTCCCCTTTTTCAGTATCAAATTCTGCTTAAAGTAAGGCAGGAAAGGGCAGGTTGTGCTTGAGGGGCATGCTACGAAGGCTGGACGTACTTATCACACACAAAATGCCCAATTGCACAAATTTTTCCAAAATATTGGATTAAGACATAAGCCTATTCTTCTTTTACAATCATTAATTATCAACTAGTTTTGGCAAAGGCAAAGATCAATCATGCATTCTTCGGCATTGTTTACAACTCCCTTGTAACGTTCCCGTCTTGCCAAATATTTCCTTTTGAAGTCTCAAAGCGGTTCTTAGGCGAGTTCCTGAAGTCTTTATTATTGTTAAATGTCGTGCAATTCATTTGGCTTCGGAGCGAGTGACGGAGTGAATTTCGGAATGCGTCGAAACTTTACAGCTGAGATTAGCAGTGTGATTGGCCGTTTTAGTACTGCAGATCGATCGGGTCGCTTCAGTTGAGTAGTTCTGTTAAAATGTCGCGATCGATCATCGATTGCCCTGTACTTCACAAGCGTTTTGCAGTGAACGAAGTACGCAAAGCCCAATCACACACAAATAACCTACTACTTCTACTTTTCGTGTCCAGTAGTAGCTTCATATAGGAACCTTGAATTGGCTCCACGAACGGCCCTAACTCTCGTGAGTAGATTTGCCGCGTTTTCGGTTTGGTGTGCAAATATCCGACACCCGTTTGCCTACCTGCAGAACTTTGTTCATTGACTCCAGTGCTCTTTTGGACGCAAGCAATCTGCCCAGCCAACTACCACTGCGTGTTTTGGCATCCACACTTGTTCGAAAGTGCCTCGAAACAGTCTTCATGGAAATCAGTCAAAAAGGAAGCGATGAAATGTTTTATTACTGTCGAAATTGGCTTTTTTAACATTGGTCAACCATATCTGTGGCACCCTCTTGGTGGCAATGGCGTTTTCCTAGTAGACTGAACAAGTTTCCCAATTGGAAGCGAAAAGCACGCGGTGCCAAAATGCAGATTTTATAAACTTTGCACTCTGTATCTGTAGTTTCGAAAGGTTTTTGCGCTATGCCCTGCTTTAGGTGATAACGCGGCTCGCGGGTATGGAAAACGAGAACTTGAAATTGGGAACGAAACCCGAACAGGCCGAGCTGCTGCACCGGGTGCTGGCGAGCACTGACGAGGACGCCATGGAGGAGACGCTTCCCGCCGACCCCGACGGCCTCCACCACAGCACCAAGACGAAGAACCGCCTGGCGTTCGTCCGCCGGACCGGCCACATGGCCTCGCTGTCCGGCGCCGACGACGCCATCTACGTGGACACGTCCTCAGCGGCAGCTCGCCGTGAAAAGGCCAAGGAAAGACATCCTCTTTTCAAACTTTTCCGCAGATGACCACAAACAGTGTCAATTATTTTTGTAGATATGCCTCGAATACAAAAATACATAAACATAACCCTGAGACGAAAGTGTTTGCACCACTTAACTGTACATAATTCGGAATCTGGGTGCTTTCAGTTAGCAGAATCTAAGGCCCGCTGTAGCAATAATGTGTTGTTTGTTGTCGGGAGGGAGGCACAACAGGGTTCGACACAGTAGCGGACATCAGCCCAACCCCAGATAATTGACACTCACCTGACTGGATGTTCTAGAAAAGGCACACCAAAATCGTCTGCCGCGAAGCAGGGCTGCCAAGGCGAGACAGCCACCGTTTGTGTTGAAAGTGGAGGGTCCGGCGGGCTGGCACATCGTCGTCAGCCTGGAATTAGATGGTCTGCATAAACCAACAGGGATGATAACCTCAGTTGTGTAAGCAGTCACCTGAGTTTGTGGTCTTAGATGCCTCTTGGTGATATGGAACGCCTATGAAATTTTCACTTAAAATGGAGAAAGCTATGATTAAGACAATATTTATCGAGAAAATTTTATTCAACCCAAAGCATTTATGGTAAAGTGGACCTAGTGTTTGTCCCAGCCTCGTGCTTTGATTGGGTGCAGACACCGTTTCGTTTGTTTTCCACCTGAATATTTTACAACCACTTGAGTTTGGTGAAGTGTTGTGTGTGCTTGTAAGCAAATCCTTTACTCACCGAGAACGCTTACGTAGATTTCTTTAAGACCGTAAGTTGTCTTCATCCTTAAAAACAGGGTGCTAGGAAATGACAACAATGCACGTTTATAACACAACGTGCTTTTCGGGTTCATTCGTGGTGCTTAAGCCACGAGCTACACCACAACCGAGAGGGTGCCACAGAAATGGCTTTTCAATTGTAACAGCATTAATTTCAACTACAATAGAGCATTTCTTCGCCTCCTTTCGACTGCGTTTGATGAGGACTGTTCAGAGACACTTGTGAATAAACATGGACGCGAAATCACGCAGAGACCACTCGCGACACATGTCGTCCATGGAGAAGGTTCAGCACGTGGAAGTGCGGAAGCGTCAAACCAAAAATGTCGTCAGCACTTACAACACCTGTAGTCGTGTGCGAACGCCAAACAGTATCATAAAATCTGCCTCCACGCGATTTGCTCGTTTGGTCATTGGACCTTTGTCCACGAAAACTTGCCTTGCAAAATACCGGTGATTCCAATTTTAGATGCTATACCCTCGATCAAATGTGCTGAGGAAGTGATGTTTGAATGAAAAGGTACGGAGGTTTAGGTCGAAGTATGAACTCACGTACTAACCCAACCAGTATTCAGCATTACTATCTTAGAGTGACTTCGTGGACCCTCTTTCAGTGCCATCAAAAGGTTTTTGTCGTGGATTGTGGTCACATATTTCACTCTAGTGTCCGGGGGTAGACTGGCCAAACAAGCATGGTACGAAATAGATGAAACAGACATTACAATTATTTGCGACAACAAATGGTCGGAGAACCCCTCCGCTAACGCCCTTTTGACTTCTTTCAGGCACTTGGTTGTGACAATAATTTAATTTGCTCACCTAATGGCTTATTAAATCGCAGTGACTTGGATTGACACCTTGGTGTGTAGAAATTGTGGGCAACAGCCCATGAGTCTTCAAATGTCAATGTCTTTGATATATGTTGAGACTCCACAGCCTATCTACCGCATACTGAAGGTGAACATCTCATAATTAGAAAATATCGAATCGGACCTTGTAATTACGAAAGACGACTCAATTTGCCAATTGCGTCAACTGTTCATTCCGTTTGGCCCACCTTCCCACATTCGCCGATTCTCCGTTTTAAAGTGAGGCGGTTGTGTGGTTACAAACTGTCCGGCGTCTGTGAAGCCTTGAAGTGCCAAGTGGTTTTACGGAGGCCATGAAAAGTTTGGTAAAAGTATTGTGATGGTCATAACAAACTTGCCTTGTTTTATTTTGTGTTTGTGTGCGAAGGTTGAAACAGAATTGAAAAAAAAATGTTTTTTGTCAGGAGTTGTTTTCAAACTCGTAAACATCAGTGAACTGACACTGACCACTTTGGCAGGAGTGTTGTGCGTGCAACAGTGCAGACCACGGGCGTTGGCGTTGTCATTAAAAGCCACTGACACCGTAGCCATCGTAGCTAAACAAAGCGCGGTCGAAGTACCACGGAGGACCATTGATTAAATTATTTGTGGCATTTCCGCAACGCCTTAAATCTTGCCCACACACAACATGGCCTGAATCTATCTGTGGCAGACTGGTACCCGAAAATAGTAGTGGCATCGTACAATTCGATGCATCATGTCGTTATTCTAGCCATTCCTCCAGAGCTCTGGTGGCATGTATGGAAAATTTTAATCTCTGACTCGCATTTGGGCTTTGCAGATCGATAAATGCGTCAGGATAATAGGGCTTACTATAAAACCGAATTATAACTTCTTGATGTTCCCGAAACTCCCTGAATTAAGTGCACCAACTAGACTGACGTCAACCACCAACCTGCCGTTCCATCCTTACGCTAGCCAACTTTTGCTCTCCCCGCTACACTAACAACTCGGATCTTCACCTGTGGACTCACATTATTCAAAAGTCTCGTTACTTACCCTCCCGTGGCAGCAGACAAAGCACGAATGAGTCACCGCCTCCTCAACCTATGACATGAACATGTGAAGAGCCTTTACTGTTTCAGCCAAAGGCCGAGCGCGTATTCGGATTTGCCCACTTGTACGTGGAGTGGGCGGCATTGAGTGCTCTTCAAAGTACTAGTTCACTCAAAGAGGAAAAAATCAATAGGAAGGGAGAGGACTATCTGAGTACAAAAATTGGCCTGTATAGGCGTGAATGAAAATGAAAAGTCGAAAATTATTGAAATTTTGAGAAGCAAAGTCTCGGAGATGATGAATACCCAACATCTGCAAAGGGCCAGTTTTCCTTAGAGTCTCACAGATCTCTGTAGAAGTGCATTTGTCGCCAACTTGAAGGTTTGACTAGTCGCCAAGTCTCAAGTGTAGCATTGTAAAGCAAACAGTACATCTGGAGATTGGCAACTTTTGACGTGAAATGGCTTCCAATACCAACCTGATGAATATGTCTGCCGTGGCTGTTTCAGTTGTGCTAAAAGGCTTCCGAAAGATGCCGCTAGTTAAAAGCAAAAGACATTGAAACAATAAATTGATCCTTGGTAAGTACTAGAGAAACTTTGACCTTTCGTAAAACCCATTTCCTTGTTTTTCTCAGCCCAATAGGCTACAATAACTGCACCTGCCAAAGTGACGTTGTCAGGAGTAGCTAGATAGAAAGCGATGTATTTTTTATTGCGGATTATGCCACGCTTGGTAATGCAACACACCCTCAATTGTCACACAAATCACAGGATCTGCGTTAGACGAGGTAATTTAGGCCGCTTCCCAACGTTTTCGGCTGTAACGGCTATTGTAATGTACCTGTGGTTTCGTCAGAAGGCAATTTACCTCCACCAACCACTGATCTGGAGCCTGCCATTCCTGGCGTTTGATAGGTCTCTTTGGCACCGCATTTTCTAGTCTAAATTTGTAGCAGAATTTGTTGAACAACTGCAGAATCCTAATTTAAGCAGCGCGAAATTCTTGGAAAAGATCCTCAAGTGTGGTCGATTTTAGTCATACCACATGACCACAGCAAAGGCTATCCTGATTACCATTTATTAACACGTATGCTGCGGGTGATAACAATTTACCCCAGTTTTAGCCAGAAGGGTAATAGCTAGAGTCATATGACTAATCACATTCAATCAACTGCCACCGCAGGAATAAAGGCGTCATTTGTGATCGAAAGCAACTTTACCGGTATTAGGCAAAAATATAAGTGGCGCGTATATGATAGATAACCAAATACACCATTTAGTTATTTGTGCCCCATTTTAAGATCGAACGAATGTGCCATGCTTTTGCATTAGTCCGGATTTAGACCTTTCTGATGCTCTTAAAAATGAAAGTAAATATGCTTCAAAAGTACTTCCGGAGCGTGGCAAGTAGGTACGCTTCAATGACCAAAGATACCAAACAGGTCTGGTAACTTAACTAATTGCCTTATATCATCATTCGCCTTCAGACTTTCAGACTCCATGAAGTCCCTGGATGCCTCAGAAAGTCGTCTTTTCCGTTAGGGCGCACCAAACTAATTCTGACCAAACTAGTTCTTTCACGTACACCCCCTTCTTTGCCAGACAATCTCACTAATAAGCCCAGCCTTGCAAGTCGGTGTTTGCTGGAACTGCGTCAGTTTCCAACAGTCCCAATCCACGTGCAATAAGTTTTGATCAAATTTTCTCTTACCCAGGCTTTCTATTGGAATGGTGTGCACTGTAGGATGTCAAGGACGGAAGTTACATACAAATCGGAATTCATCGGTCCCACTCAATGTTGGCTATTTTCGGTCTCGATTCTACCTTGTTTGAAAACTGACTTCAATCATAAATAAGCGTTCTTTCTAATAGCACTGAAAGCGGTCACTTTTGAGGTCAATTCGGCAAGACAGTAGAGAAAACACACGTATGCTTCAACTATCAACTGCCAACTACACAGTTCGACTCATCTTGCCTAGCCCTAGTTTGTGCACATTGTATATTAGCCTATTTTCCTGGGATTTTTTAAACCCCGCAAATACATTTACCTCACAAGCTGTATTTAAGTTGGCAGTCTGAAGCATCAAAAAAATAACGTAGTGAAATTTACCAACCCAAAGCTCTTTATTCTGTTCGCTCTTATTGGACATGCTGTAAGGTATCACGCTTTTAACTTAAAAACAAACCGTTAAGCGCCAGAACGAACCTACTTAAGGTGGTCCTTCGCTGAGGGGCCATGCACGTTCCCACTTTGTCATCAAGCTCTGTTTGGTTAAATATAACTCATTTGATACACATGTAAGCATCTTAATAACCCGTCCAAATTCCACAAGAAAGTAGTTAATACTTAGCTAAATTTGGAGGCCCAAATTTGTATCTCTTGGGTTGTAGGGGAAT